CATGGGAAGGGTACCGGGGACCAAAGGGTGTCCCTCAGCCTCCCCTGGGGACAGGTGAGCGGGGAGGTCACCCTGCCCTGGGCAGAGGACACAAGGAGTGGATGTGGACAAGGGCAAACACAACAGCAGTCTCTGGGTGAGGAAGAAAAAGCACAAGGTGGCACAAGAGCTGTTTGACAGGCAGTACTGCTTGGGCAGGCCAGTATGAGTTTAGTCCCTGTGCCAGGCTGTCCCGGTGAACCTCCGATGGCCATTTCACTCTGCTGAGCATCTCCAGCTCCAGGCTCTAACTCCTCTCCCCTAAGGTAGCCCACTGAGAGGTGCAAATGCCTGTCTGCCTTTCCAACCCTGGTCCCAGGGCGGCTTGGCTTTGCAGCCTGTCTCCTTCCAGACCCATGGGCATTTCTCCTTTCCCTTTCCCACCCACCAAAGGCCGTCCCTAGTTTATTACTAATTCAGGGCGGATAGGAACAACAGAAATGTCTAGGTATGACTTCAGAGGTGCAAGTTATTTTAGCTTGACACTAGAAAACAGCATTGAGTCTGCAGGCCCAGAACATTAGCATGATGAATTCATACTGGAGGGCCCAGTGCTGGCAAAAGCTTGGTAGTTCTTTAATCTGAAGCCTTGTAGTTTTGTGGCTCCAGAGTGAATAGAGTAATGGCAGCACAGACTCATAACTTGTATTTCTCTGAATACAGCCCCAAAATTAAGCTATGGTGACCAGGTTTTGGGCAAAGTCTGCTAGTAATGGGCAACATAAGACCCGCTGGGGGAACCAAAGGGCCCTGTATGAGGGGGACTGCAGCCCCCTTCTGCTGCCAGAATGCACCTCCCAGTTGAGACCAAAGAGCAGCAGTTGGCTGCCACCTTCACACATCAGAGCCCTACAAGTCAAGGTGAAATCTCCCTGTCCACTGCTCTGCCGTGGCTGCAGACCTCCAGAGAGGTTTGGGTTGGGGTTTTTTTTCTTCCTAGAAGACTTTGCCTTAACTTCTTCCTTTCATGCTAGTGGAAGAGCTCAGCTCTCTGCACCAGCCGCAGCAGCTGGGCGAGCCTGCTAGCAACATTCAGACCAGCCAAACAAGCTTTTGTTCGTGATAAACAAACAGGAAACTGCCTGATTTCCTCTGTGTGTTCACCCTCTC